AGGGCAGCTTTCAGCTGGGCCAGCTTGGGGTTGGCATCCTTAATGGCCACGCTTAATCCCCACTCTGCTCAGCATCAGCAGTGGTAGCTTCCATGGATGCCCCCTGGCCTTTGAGGGCCTCAGTATCCTCCTGGAGGCAGCAGATGCTGCAATTCATCTCAGAGATCTCCATCATCATGCAGCACAGGTCATTCTCATGCTTCCCAGCCAGTGTCTGCACCTCCTCATACTTGATCTGTACATTCTCTTGATCTCAGCCTGGCTGCAATTGGTGATCTCCTTGTACTGAGCCCTGACCTCAGCAATGATATTGTCCCTATCCAGGGTGTGGCTGTTGTTCACAGAACACCATGGATGTGTCCAAGTTGAAACTCACCTATCTCCTCTTCATACAACTGCCCATAGAAGTTGAGCTTCCAGGAGAGACTCCAGCTCTACCTTGATTATCTAAGCTTTATCCACCTCCTTCTTGATAAGGACAAATTCATTCTCCATCTCTGTATGCTTGTTCATCTCATCCTCATACTTACTCTTGAAGTCCTCCACCAGCCCCTGCATGTTGCCATGCTCCACTTCCAGCTGCAGCTTCTTCTGGCCCAGTGTGTCCAGTTGCGCTGGAGGTTGTTGTGGTCTTAGAACACACTGTCCATGTGGCTCCAGCCATCTTCCTCTCCTGCAGAAGACTCCACTTGGTCTCTAGCACCTTGTTCTGTAGCTCCAGGAACCACAGTTTGTTGATGAAGGGAGCAAATTTGTTGAGCGTCTTGATCTTCTTCTGAGTGCAGTCTGGATATTGGGGTCCACCTCTAGGTTCAAGGGTTTCAGCAGGCTCTGGTTTACCTGGATGGCTGTGATGCTCCCCATACCACCAGCTCCATCCAGGAGTACCATCCAGTAGCTACCATCCAGGCAGTGCCTAGGCTGCCCCAGAAACTGCAGAGAACCAGGCCCATGCATGTGCAAAGGGACTACTGAAGGCCTGGTGCTGGAGGTGAACACTTGGAGGACCCCTGTGTTACCTGATGGATGTGGTAGAGGCTGGCAGGCCAAACTGGGGATTCAAGAAGGAGCTAGGCAGCTGCTTCTCGGCAGTGGGCTGTTAGTGTATTGTTTGATGTTATTGAATCTGCTTTGAATTTCCAGGGGGAAAATCCACTTTGTTATATTTTTTTCTTAAAGAGGAATCAGGTTCTGTTAAAGAATATTTTGTCTAGAATTTTACACTGATGCTTATGAGTGATATTAAACTTTAGTTTTCCTTCTTTGTACTTGTTATATTTGGTTTAATGAACAGCATTTACCTGCTTCATAGGAGAAATTAGGATGCTTTTCTTCCTCTTCAAAGCTCTAAAATAATTCACAAAGCATCAAGACTGTCTGGTCTTCGTGAGGCTTGGGAGAATGTCCTGTGGACCCATCTGGGCCCAGTGCTTTTTATGGGCAGTTCCTTAGTACCATTCTCCATTTCTTAGGTGGAATTTGGTCTGTTGGTTTCTAACTTTAATGGGATAAATTTTGCTCATCTTTGTTTCCAGAGGAAATTATACAGCTAGGTTTTTAAATGTGTTTGCACAGAGGATTGGAAAATGTCTCTTAGGATTGTTTAAATCTCTTTTATTTCAAAAGTTAAATCTCTTAAATATAATAAGGTTTTTAAAAGGACAGAGAAATTTGGGTGACTGGAAATACCATCATCCTAGAATTTTAAGATTGTGGTTTCCAAAGTGACCAAAGTGTTGTTTACCCCTGGAATGTGAGGATGACATCAGGGTTTCTTCTCTGTCGTTTTCTCCTGTTGGTTAAAGGATGACCAATGTGAAAAGCAGCTTTATTCCCTGGGAATTAATAGACAGCTGCCCTCAGCATAGCAACCAGAGAGGTCCTAACCAGCTCCCTGATGGCCAGTTAACATCAGTCTGATCTGTAGGGCGTGATATTCAGGATGTCAAATGTCAAAAAATATCATTTGCATATAGATTAATTACATTGTCATATCATGGAACTTCATTCTCCCGTAGGAACCTAAGAGGTTATTTTTGACCTTAAAATTAGAATAATTTTTTTTCTTTTTTCTAGCTACTAAAAGTACTTGTACCTTTCTTAAAAACAAAGGAAAAATGCAGGAGAGAGTAACATAAATAAGAAAGTAAACATCACCCGACACTCCATGACCACGCCTGTGTACTGTCAACCTGGGGATGACCTCCCTTCCAGAAATGTCCTTGTGCCTCTGTCCTTGGAGAGAGACATAGTCTTGCCCTCCGTGTGTCAGGATCATTCTTGTTTGGAACATGTGGAAGGGCATCTGCAGGAAAAGATGCCTCAAAGGAAGTCTCAGGTGTGCAAGATCATTTTCAACTCTTGGGGCTTTGTCCCTTGGTCTGTCCTGAGCCTGGTAGAGGAGGAAGGAGTCAAGCTGGCCAGGTACTCGGTGTGGGGTACAGGAACATAAGGGGAGAATGTGTGGCTGTAGCAAGTCCAGGAGTGCTGGGCACCAAAGTAAAAAGGGATTTCTGGAGCAGGAGGCATTGGTGGGAGGTGGCTGCTTTGAGGACAGAGCGGGAGAGAGAGCAGTCCTACTTAGAAACCAGGCTGATGCTGTGGCTCCTCTGAGCGAACAGGTCCGATCCCTGTAGGTCAGTGTTGTCACCCACATCTGCCCGCAACAGCACGGTATGGCGCTTCACGAGGAGGCACTCGACTAAGCCCGAAGGTTAAATTAGATTACATGCTGCTGAAGGTGCAGAGATGATTGATCACTTGCTCAATAAAACTGACTTGAAAAAGAAACCACCATTTAAGAATTGTAATGATTAAAAAGTCAAATTTAATTATCTGGAAAAATGTTTTGGGTTCTTCTCACTTTCTGAACAGTGGCTGAGTTTTGGTCCTGGCTGCCTGTGAGGAAGTTAGCCAGCCCCTCCCAGAGTGAGCACTCTGGCCTCTGTGGATAGGAAGGTCCTGCTTTGATCCAGGGACAGGGCCCCAACCACAGCAGAGAGTCCTCTGGGTTGGAGCTTGGCAGAGTCTGGTGGCCAGTTCAGGCCACACCTGGCCCTCAGTGGACATCTACCCTGACCTAGAGGTGGCCCCTGACCCTTGGTGCCTGGTCCTTGTGTTCAGCCTAGGCACCTTTCTGGTGCAAGGATGCTTGTCTTGTGGGGACACACTCCCTGCTCCCACTGATGAGCAGAGTGGACCTGACCACTAAGGACATGATGAGAATTTCAACCCAAATCCTCACTTTCTCCTGGAAGGGTCAGAGTCCCTACGTCCGAATGTCCTGGTCGCTGGACAGTGCCGAGGTGGACAGCATCTACGGTCAATGGCCATCCTGCCCCAGCAAGGCTCTGGCCTCTGGCCTCTGTGGCTCTCAGATGTGAGGCCTTAAGGATTGTTCAGGACCACCAGGAGCTTTTCGTTCATGGCAAGAGGAGAGGTACCCAGGGTCCAAAGCGGAGGAACGTACTCAGGGTGGGCTGGGACCAAGAGGGAGAAGAGGGACTGTTGGACCCTCCCTGGGTCGTGGTCCTCGAACCATGTGCTGCAGCCACCCTCTACCCCACCCCTACCCCCACCCCCTGTTACCCGCAACTCTTCAAAATATAGTGCCGTGGGCTGGACCCAAGTCTCTTCTCTGGGCTCTGGAGCAAAAACGCTGCTGTAAATAACTACTTCACAGGAAAAAAAAATGGCATGAACAGTACATTTGCATACAAATGTACTAATTATAATTCTCTTCCTGTGTGTTAGAACAGAATTAGCAGTTAGAATTATATTAGGACATGATATTCTTAAAACCCTTAAACATGCAGGCATGCAGAGGTACTAAAGTACATGCAGGGGCATATGTGTGCACATGAACATGTGCATATGTTTCTGTGTGCATGTGGGTCTGCGTCAGTGTGTGCATGTGTATGTGTCCATGTGTCCGTGTATCTGTGTGTGCGCACGCACATGTCACTCCCTGGTATCCAAGTGAAGCGTCTGTCCCTTCATCCTGCATCACATGTGGCCCATGCTTCTCAGGAGATTTGGTTACTTGGAGTTGGCAGCAACCTCAAGACTGTTGTCTTGACTCAGCCTATTTGCACTTGGTCAGTTCTGTGAAGTCTTGTGGTCCTTGTAGGGTGGCAAAATTCTTATTTCTGAAACACAGTCATGAAGTCATGGTGCATTCAGAGACTTGAGTCCCCAGTTTGTATCTAAAGGGCCTGCCTTGGCTCAGCAGCCGCCAGACCTGCTCATGGCTTTCTGCATGGGAGACTGGTTTATGAAGGCTGCCTCCTGAGAGGCAGAGGAGAGAGTGAGTAGCTTCACAGCACACTTCACACATGCAAGAGAGTCAGTGCAGTGTAAGACCTTCCTGATGTTACAGTATTAGGAGAATATTTTGTGATTTCTGTATTTGTAGAAAAACAAAGTTGTATTGAAGAAAAATGTTCTCTTTCCTTCAAAGTAGACTCTTGAAAATTCCAGAGGACAAATGCAGCCTCTGCTTGATTTTGGTACTGATGTGGCAGCCCAACAGCTGCAGCCATGCAGGCAGAGTGCTCTTCTGAGGCAAGGAGCCAGCAGCCTGGCAGGGTCCAGTAGAAGGCTGGGACGCAGCCCTGCAGCTTTCTGGCACCAGAGAGCTGGAGTCCAGGGCAGGACATGCCAGTGGTGCCTGGGTACCTCAGGCCTTCCACTGTCTCTAGGCTGTGCCTGCTGTGTGTGGTTCCTTGACACCACTTACTTAGTCCTCTGGGGCAGCTGTTGCTCAGGGTAACCTGGTCTGCACAGAGGGTAGGGTAGGTGTGTAAATGCAGCTATGCTCTGCTGCCATGTGGATGGAAGTCAGCTCTAAAGTGCACAAGAGGTCCTGTGGTGGGGATCCTGGCTGAAGCAGTCACCCCCGAGAGTCCCGGGGCTGCGTAGGCACATGGGTCACACATTCTATGTGGGGCAGATCCACTTATCAGCAGTTCTGACTGGATGGGGAGCAGAACCCCCACAGAGTGCAGTGGAAGAGCCAGAGGCAGATTTTCTACTAGTTAGTTCATTATCAATCCTAGGGAGCATCTGTCCAAGAAGGTACCGTGACACAGACAGATTAGGTAGGAAGTATCATCTGATGAGGTGTTCTGTGTGAGATATTTCCTGATGATAGGTGACCATTGAGTCACCTGGGCGGAGTGGACCCCAAATAATGACACTTGGTACTGCCCACAGGAACCACAGCCATTATGGGAAGACAGTGAGGAGTCTTGAGAACCTGTTCGTCTCAGGGGAGGAAAGGACCTGTCAGTCCGGACACATTGAACTTGGCATTCAAGACATTGACCAGAGAGGTGCGGGGGCAGGCAGAAGCAAGTAGGTCTATAGGAGAGAAGAGAGAGGCACCCTGAGGACAGGGAGTGAGGAGGAGCAGGATGGATGGAACAGCAGAGGACACCCAGAGAGGGTTCCAGACAGGTGCTCTGTATGTGCATTAAGAAGGACTGAGTGTAGATAGGACCCTTGGATTGAGGAGACAGGCCATGGGCCATGAGGCAGTATGGGAGGTCATGGAGCTCAGTGAGAGCAGGAGAAGGTAGAAGCTCTCCTTTGGCTCAGAGGGATGAGACACAGGTCTGTGTTGATGGGGCCACAGTGTTCTGAGCTTCTGTTTATCTACAGAGAAGAGAGAGGCAGGGAGGGAGAGGAGTGTGGTAGAAAGGCAGCAAGAAGGCTGATTGGGGGAATGTTCCAGAGGACCTACCCCGGGAAGGTGGGATCCAGAACACAGTGCAGTGCAGCCCCCAGAAAGGTCCCTTTCCCCAAAACAGGAAAGATGAAAGGCAATCAGGAAGACTAGGCATGAGTCTGGCTGGAGGAAATAGTTCTTCTGTTCTCTGCTATGATATTCCTGAATTTCTGTCTTAGTTGTTAAGAAACAGAGAGATAAGGAGCAGGAACCAATTCTGGAAAGCCATTATGCTTCCATTTGTCTTGTCAGAACCTTGTGCTTGGAGACCACTTTTGCAGAGGATAAGGATGTTGTTGTGAGAAAGGCACAGGCCACAGTGATGCAGTTAGCTGGTGGGTGGGATAAATATAAAATGTCCCCCTGAAACAGGAGCTCCTACGTGGGGACCAGGGGGTCCACATAAGCATGAGTAATTTTAGAGAGTCCCAGAGCCCTGGTGCAACCCAGGTGGCTACTGGTGCAACCCAGTGATTACTCATGTGTTAGTAGGAGATAGAGTATGCTTGTTGGCTTCTCTAAGAGGCACATGGCCAGCCACAGTCTAAATGCAGACTTTGCCATATCATTTCAGGAGTTTGAGAAGCATTGCCAGAGCTCTTACAAAATAGCACCATTGGAAAAGGGCCAACTGGGATGAGCCTCCCCACCTCAGGGAACCTGATTGAGGGTAAGGAATATGTTGCCTGGCCCGGGGATTTAGCGCCAGGTCCCGAGTTCGATCCCCTGCACAAAAAAAGAAAAAAAAAAAAAAGGAATATGTTGCCAATGAGGGCTTACAGTCCATAGAGAAAACTGGAAGATTGTCTTTAAATTAAACCATCTCATTTAGAGTGTTGTAAAGCATAGGTACCTGCAAAGGCACTCATTCCCTAGGCTAGATAATTGAGAGGTAGTGTTAAAATATGAAGAAAATTACAATGTGGGCATTATGGTTTGAATATAAAACCATTCCCCCAGAAGGCCCAGATGTTCAGAGGTGGGGCTTTTGGGAGGTGAATGGATCATCAGGGCAATGACCTCATCTAGGAATTAATTCATTAATGAGTTCATAGACAAATGGGCTGTTAAGAGGTGGGGCCTAGTCAGAGGAAGTAGGTCACTAGGGCATAACCTGGTAGGATATATCTTGTTCCTGGTCCTTCTTCTCCCTGTCTCTGCTTCTTTGCTACCATGAAGTGAGCAGATTTTCTCTGCCAAGCCCTGCCACTATGATTGTTCTGCCTCACCCCAGGCCTGAAAGCAATGGAACTGGCTGATCATGGACTGGAGCCTCTGAAACTGTGAGCCAAAATAAATTTTTCCTTATTTAAATTGGCTTCACTCAGCTATTACATCACAGTGACAGAAAGCTAACATAATGGGGTAAAGAACTAAAGGATGGACTTCCTTCTGATCATGGGTTCCCCCAGGACAATTCCTGGGTGCTTTGTGAGAAATCACAAAAAGTTTCATGCATAAAGAGTTTGTTGCACACTTAACAGAGTGCAGCATGATGGATCATAACTTGTACACATGTCCCCATCCTACCCTACCTGGCCACTTCCTGTGGAAGATGATTGTCTTATAATTCTGGATGCTTTTTTGGAGCATGGAAGCTTGGAGCAGATATCCTCCTCCTAGAGGGGCCTACCCCCTCCACTGTTGCCTCTACCTGCTGCTGGAGTGATAGGAACTCCACATCAGGAACAAATATTTGAAAAGGGCTGGGCAGGCAACTGAAGTGCCCACCAACAGGCCTCTTTCCAGTGCTTAGCATCTCTAGCAGGATGGTGTCCACAAGCTTCCTGTCGTCCATGCCACCTCCCTCTCCTTCCTAGATCTCTTCCCTGCCCCTCACCATGCTCTTCTGCCCTTCCTATCCTTCCTCACCTGTCCTTCCTCACTTGCCTTTCCTCACCTATCCCTCCTTGCCTGGCAGGCCTCTCTTTTTCATTTTTCCTTTTCTTTCCATCTTCTTTCCACTCTCTTGCTGTTTTCCAAACTCCTACACTTCCTGTGCACCCATCTCTGCTGTTTAGAAAAGTCTGCATCTGGAGGAAACCTAAGGTCTACTACCTTGGTTTACCCATGTGGACTCAAGAGGTTGACGTGCAGGGCCCAAAGTACATACGAGGCAGCCAAGACTGAGTTATGCTTCTTCTGATTCAGTCCAGGGCCTCCCCACTGGGTGTAGGAAGCCTTTTTGCACAGCACTGGCCACTCTCAGAGTGGTTCACATAGTTAGATGAGTGTTTTCAAAGAAGGATGATGTATGTGAACCAACTCCCCATGATGAATGTAATCGTCACATATAGCAAACGTGTACTAATAAACATTAAAAATAAAAAATCAACAAAACAAAGAAAGATCATGGCCTATGGCCTTGCCCTGTGTGATCCATCCAGCTGTTATCTCCTCCAACCCATCGTGTCTTCAGGCAGATCTGAAGGTGGTTTGGAATATAAAGGTGGGGGAAGATGACCTGTCTGCTTCCCTTCCAGGCCTGCCCCAGTCTTGGGAGCTGAATTTCCTTAAAAATTGACAAGGAGGGAAGGATATTTTATTAACTTTTCTCTGCCACAGTATTTTAGGGTTTCTTAGGCTCTGTAGGTAAGAATTTAAGATCTAACCATGAGTCCTTCTTGTTGCAGTTTGATTTTACTGTTACAGTTTCTGGGAATTTTTGTTGCGATTCTAATTGTTGTTTTCTTTCAACACCCACGCTGTTAGTGCTGTGTTTGGGAAGTGAGAAATCACAAACTATGAGTTATAGAACAAAACCGAAATCTGTTTGACCACAGTAGTCTAAAAGAAACAAACTTTCACAGAATGTGTTTGCATCGACAGACAAAGCTGATTAAGTGGAAGTGTCTCGTGTGACTGAGTAGATGATGCAGGCAGGTGCACAGGAGTTGGGGAACCAGCACCCTCACTGTCCATTGCTGAAATTGGGTGTTCCAACTTCCCTCTGGCTGGAGCCAAGGGCAGGCCCTTGCAGGAAGCCTGCATGTCTGCCTCCACTCTTGAGTATGCAGTCACCCCTGCCTTCCCTAGGGATGTAGACAGAGGAGGCCTGAGGAAGTCAGGTTTCCCGCCCTGCTCAGGGATAATGAGGCCACACCCCTGATGCTAGCCACCTCAGTGGATAATGGGAACAAGATTTCCCCAAGTAGGAGTCAGTGAAGAACTATTGCAAGCAGGAACCCCACCCACCAGTAAGAGGAGCCCACCCCTTCAGTCTCCCCAGAGGCTCAGGGCAGGACCTGGACTTCTGCCTTCACCTGCCAGCAACCAGACACAGCAGAAGGTCTGAGGGGGACCAGATGTCCAAGTTTCACTGGAAAATTAGTCATCATACCAAGAACCAGGAAGATCTGCTTCAAACAGAATGAAAAGGGACAATCAATAGATACCAATCCAAGATGACAATGTCACTAGAATTACTGGATGGAGATTTAGAGCAGCCATTATAGACATTCTACATTGACCAACTATAAAAGTGGTGGGAATGTGAAGAAATAGTCTCTGCAAAGAAATAGAAGATATAAAAAGCCAAATGGAAATCTTAGAACTGAAAAATACAATAAGCTAAATGAAAAACTCAGTAGGTAGGCTTCACTGCACTAGGGATACAAGATGAATCAGGTAGCTGAAAGTCAGAATGGTAGATTACCCAATAGGAGTTTGCTGTTCATCTAAATTAAAAAAAAAAATAGTGACATCCATTGCTGATGATACCACGAAGCTAGGTCTCTTATGCATTGCCAGTAGCAATGGAAAGCAGTGCAACCACTCTGGAAAACAATTTGCAGTTGATTTAAAAATTGAACATGTGGGCTGAGGATGCAGCTCAGTGGTAGAGCACTTGTGTAGCATGTGTAGGGCCCTGGGTTCCATCCTCAGTACCACAAAACAGCACCACCTAAATATGAAGCGACCACTCAGTAAAGGAAAAACTCATAAATTAGACTTTTGTCAGATACAAAAACTTGATCCTTTGGTTCACGTGAGAGCATGATGATCGAGTGTTTGTGACATATGTGTGAAATATGCCACCCCCCAGACATTGCGGTGTCAGCACATTACCTGTCTGACAAGGAAAAAAACCAAAACAATGTATAAAAACTTCCGCTCTACCCAAAGGGGAAAAACCTGTATGGAAATGTTTATACCAGATTTATTCATAATAGCAAATACTGGAAATCACCAAAATATTCTTCAGCTCATGAAAGGTTAGGCGACTATAGCTCACCTGCACTAAAGGTGTTAATCAACAACAACAAAAAAGGTGTTGACACAACCACAACCTGTGTGATCACTGGGAAGTGTGTGAATGAAAAAGCCAGTCCCCGAAAGTTACTTACTATACAGTTCCATTTATACAATATCCTCCCATGAAGTTGCAGTTCAGAGTTCAAGGCCTCAGTCATTCATAGATTTTTCCTTAGAACCTAACTAATAATTTTTCGCGGACCCCACCCCCACCTCCTAATTTGGAAGAAACTAAACATATGCTCCGCAATTGTTTTTTTGACGCGAGGTTTGTAAATAGCCAATCTGAGAGCGCTATTCAGTTATCTCTCCTGCTGATTGGCTGCTGCCCTGTAACACATCTCTGGCAGCTGCACCAGCTTTCCCGCATCATAACAGGTTGATATGCCACCTGTAGCCATCTCAGGTGTTCTCGGTTTTGTTCTTCTTAAAGCCCTAAGATCCCTAAGATGCCACCAAAATGCCCTGCAACTTCTAAGGCTTTATTAATACAGTATTTTATTAAATTAAATTACATAACAGGGCTGGAGATTTAGCTCAGTGATTTCGCCGCCTGGTGCGCAAGCACAAGGACCTAAGTTCGATCCCTGGTACCAAAAAATAAAATAAAAAAATAAAAAAATAAATTACATAACTGCAGGAGACATAGCATATTTAGGATTTAAACTATAAAAATAGGCGTTTATAGGCATTTTTCTGGCCATATCTGAAATTCACGGTTTTTCACAATTCGAGGGTGCTCTAGGAATGTAACCTCACGAATTTCAGGAGTCCCCTGTACAGTGACCCTAAATAACCGGGACAGAGGAACTGGAGAAGGAGTTGGGAGTGCGGGTGAATGAGGAGGTGGCTGGGCCGGGGCACAGCTGTGGAGGTGGCAGGAGGGTCCTGGAGGGGCAGGTGTTCTGCGTCAGGACTGTGTGTCGGCTGTCCTGCTGGTGAGACTGTTCTCTGGTTTTGCAGGATACTGCTGTAGAGGGAACCAGGATGATGAGCGCCAGGGATCTCTGTGTTAATGCTGACATACATGTGAGTCTGCAGGGATTTCAACGTGAAGAGTTGGATTTTAAAGCTTTTGGAGGAATCTATCGGCAACTCTACATATATTCTGTAACTTGCTTTGTGGATAAAAGTTATTAATTGCCTGATTTCTATATGTCATAGATTTGGAGATTATGTCTCATAAATCATAATGGAAGATTGGTTATCAGTCTTTCAACAACATGGCTAAAAATGAATCTAATTATCAAGTTTCAGTCCTTGTTCATTATGCACTCACGTATATATGAAAACTAGAACCCTTTGTAACTTCTGTCACTTTGGCATATAGAAAAGAAATCCACTTCAAAATGAAATAACTGAAACTCACAGAGTTTAACAAACTATGGAAATGATACTAATATTGTTCCATATTATTTTATAACAAACATCTCCTGAGTCATATTTTATTTAAAATTATTTAGCTTTGGCTCTTTAACCCATGGATAATTATTTTATTGATAGGATGAAAATTTAAAAGAATATAGTGGCTCAGAAATATTAACCCATGACCTCTTGGTAGTCATGAGATCACACAGTTTATCTTCAGTTCTCAGCTACAGCCACTCAGGAGTTGATTGGTTGAAGAAAGCACACCTTATTCAGACTACTTTCCCTTGTTGTCTTTTGGCTCTGCTTCAATTGTTGGTTCTTAGTACCTAGCTCAGCCCAGAGTTAAGGGTTTCTGTGGTGAAGCAAAGTATGCGCCTGGAAAAACAGGCAGCACCAGCAGGAGACTTGAACAGCTCTCTGAGAGGCCTGACACATTGCCTCATTCACCATGAGCCAAATGAGTGAGACACTAAGCCAAACAGGCAGGGAGCCCTGATTAGACTTTTAATTGACTGAATATCCTCTGCTAACATCTTGTCATGAAGAATTCTCTAAATCCTTCATCAGTTGACTCCTGAGCATAGACCCACTTGTTCTCTGTGCCTCTGCCTTGGGCTGGCATGACTTGGTGCATGGTGTGTCCTTGCAGCACCTGATTTTATGCCCAGCCTTGATCATTTCTTCCCTGTACAGCTGTTTCCTTGGTGACGCTGACCCCATTCTGGACCTTGGCACTGTGGATACTTTGGGTTGGATGCTTTTTGCTCACAGCCATGTGACCAGCTTCACTGACTCCACCACTCAGCGCCAGAAGCATGCCAGTTGTGACAGCTGTAGGGGTACCTGGATATCACCATGTATCCCATAGGAGGCTGGGGATGGCAGTAGTTGAGAACCCCTGGTCTTGAAGCCACCCTGAGTTCTCTTAACTTAAGCTCAGTGAACAGGGTCCAGGGTTCATGTTGAGCCTGGCAGCCTCTGCTTCCTGATCACATGAGTCAACAGGTGCCAATGCCCATATAAAGGGAGACATTGTTTATGCATGCTGGTGCCCCCGCATAAGCACATGGGGAGATTCCAGGACTTTTCATTTAGAATTGTAAGTATTAGGCCATGTGGAGAGGGGACCACAGTCCAGAGGCTTCAGGCTCACTTCGGCACTGCAGGGGACACGTGCACTGCAGTCTATGGTGGCCCATGGGTGCCAGCACATGACAGGTTCTCGGTCCTTGGCAGACCATATCAAGAAGGTGGAGGAGGCACCAGCACCTCTGGTGTTCCTGATGTGCCTGCTCGCCTCGAAGCCACTCAGATATGAAGCATTGAGAAATTAATCGGTTAATGAACTGGGATGGATGGGATTCTTTAATGATACCACAGGCATCCAGGCCAATACATCAGAATAAGCATCAAGAAGAAACAGAGCAGTACTAAATCACAATGTTTAAAAAAATCCTCAATTTTCCTAATATGTATAGTTTAAAACAAGGTGGCGGGGGCTAAGTGGAGGGAAGAATGTTCCTGTGACTGTTCTCACTCAGCTGACCCTTTTAGCAGCACTATTCCCTCTGCCTCTGTAGAGGAAAACTTCCCACAGAGCTGCACTTGCATGGCCTTTGCTTTCTCAGTATGCTCTTGCCAATCACTGTGCCAGTGTGTGTGCTCTTCGTCTTGGGACTTGGGTGGATATTAAACCTCAGGCATAATGAATGTAACTATAGCCAAGATGGCCTGTGTATTAAGGACGGGTCTTAGGCCTCTGTCTCTGAAGTGTAACTAAATGAATTTCTGGTGACCCACACTTACTTTGGAGAAAAGTTGCTTTGCCTTACTGGACTCAGGCTCAGGACTGGGAGACTTCCGCTGCTTCAGCTTCTTAATCATACTTCTGCCCTTGTTTTTTGGAGATTCTGACTTATAACTTCTGCATCAGAAAAACATTTCAACAGAATGTCCCCTAACCATCATCTGAGGACTGTTCTTATCCCATTCTTGCACAAGTTGAGTCTTTTTTTTTCTGGTACTGGGGATCAAACTCAGCACCTTGTGCTTGTGAGGCAGGCACAGTGCCACTGAGCTAAATCCCCAGCCCCTAGTCATTTTTAATTGTGTTTAGTTTCAAAGTCAGTGGTAAAGCCATACATTAGGGATGACTCAATAATCCTGAGATGCTATATCAGAATAGTTGCAGAGAAATGTATTTGAACTAGCATAGTAATGATAATAGTAAAAGGAAAATTTCATGCACTTACAAAAATTCTGAATCTGTAAAATAATCTTCATCTTTTTGGCATCAGATGCTTCCTTTAATAAAAATAAGATGATTGAAAAAAAATTTAAGATGATTGAGTTTTCCACCTTGGAAAAAGAACTGCTACTACTAGTGAATTCCAGCAGCTTGTCTTCTTTACCTCACCAGGGGCCAGCCATCAGGACAGGGTGCTGAAGGCTTTCTCCCCTTCTGCCAACCCACAGTCCTATGCAGAGAAACCCACTTGCCGTGCTTCCTCTCCACCAGCTGCTTCTGGGGAACAGGGGACAAGGTACATGGCCTGCGCCAGGCTCCAAGGGGGCAGGCTCACAGCTAAACTGCAGTCTGATGCAAAGTGCTTGAGAGGGGTCCCAGAGCCACTTGGTTTATCTTCATGTTCAGCCAGATTTAAATAAATAAAGGAGTTTTCCTTGAGCTGTTTGACTTTCTCCAGGAAGGGGCCCTGGGCAAACGGAACCTCAGAACTTCATAGAGAGAGTGCTGTGTTTGGGGGTCACATGCATCAATCCACGGTATCTTCACGGTGAAAATGCAGCCAGGATCATAGAGAGGGCTCAGAGGGGCTGGCTGGCAGAGGGACACAATCAGCTGGTCTCCTATTTTCTGCTGCTGTGCAAGCAAGGGACACATGCTGATCCCATCTCGTTTCTGCTTGGAAGGAAGTGTTGTCATCGCCCTAATCTTATGTTGGTGTCTCAGGACTGCCACAACGAAGTGCCACAAACTCAGATGCTTAAAACAAGAGCAGGTTATCTCCTCAAGTTCTGGAAACCAGAAGTCCAGAATCAAGGGGTCAGCAGCACCAAGCTGTCTCAGGCAGAGCCAAATGGCAGGGAGCAATGCTTGAGCAAAATGACTCTCGTCAGGGCAGGGAGGAGGTGGAGAGGGAGGGGGGGAAATACTGAGAGAGGGGACTTCCTGGGGCAGGCCCCACCTTCTACGGCTCCACCACCTCCCAATAGCGCCACCAGCTGGAGACTAAGCCTTCAACGTCAAGCCTTTAGAGACTGTCCAGATTCAAACTCCAGCAAGGACCTTCTGGGCCCAGATTGTTTTAAGGGTCTATGCTGTCTCTAACCTACACAATTGCTCCATAGCATAGGTATCATATACACAGTCCCCAACTTAGGCTGGTTTGACTTTCGATGTTTCAGCTTCACCACTACTTTTTACAGAAACTGTTACCTAGAAGTGATTTCTAGGTTCTTTTGACCAATGTTTTGGTCAAGACAAGCACAAAAAGTTGGATGTGATGGCACATGCCTGTAATCTTAGCATTCAGGAGGCTGAGGCAGGAGGGTCTCCATAAGTTTGAGGCCAGCCTTGGCTACATAGTGAGTTCAACATCAGCTTAAATTGTGTGGCAAAACCTTGTCTCAAAAAACAACAAAAAGACAAGCGTAAATGGTAGCAACTTTTTATTAAAGAAACAGGCTCTGCAGAGCACATTTAGGCCAAGTAAAAGTAGGAAAATAAGTACACTCTCTATAGGAGAGAGTAGGCTGCTGTGAGAACACATACTGGAGAGCTCAATGGTGACTCTGTCTTTTGTATCTCCCATTCCGCAGACTGACTTTAGGTCTGGGCCATCCTATCCAGGTCTGGAGTTTTGGCAAGAAGTCCATGTGCAGGGCCTTGGGAACTGTTTTGCAAGTGTATCCTGGGATTTTGTAATCAACAGGTCAGTATACGTCCATACCATCCTAAATGCACCCAATCTGGTCTGTAATCGACAGGTCATGCCTACCTCCCCAGGCAGTCTGCCATGCCCTGATCTCCTGCCTCAAAAACCACACTTTAACATCCATTAACTATTAATATTGACCCATACAACCATTCTGTTCCTCATTTTCAATACATGCTCAATGAATTTTGTGATTCTTCGATATAGTTAACACTTTATAGTAAAATAGACCTGTGCTACATGATTTAGTTCAACTATAGACCAATGCCAGGGTCTGAGGACTTTTTTTTTGTTTCAGTAATGGAGATTGAATCCAAGGCTTTTGCACTGAACTCCAACCTCGGTCCTTTTTATTTTTTACTCTGAGACTGGGTCTTCCTAAATCACTACTGGTAAGTTGCCCAGGTTAGGCTGGAACTTGCAGTCCTCCTGCCTCAGTCTCCCAGAGAGCTGCGATTATAAATATGGACCACTACACCCAGCTGTGTCTGAGTACATTCAAGCTGAGCTATGCTAAACTGCCATGCTCAATGGGTTAGGTGTATCAAAGGCATTTTGACTTAGGATATTTTCAGCTTTCAACTTGGGATGGGCTTGTCAGGCTGCACCATCATGAGTGGAGTGGAGAATCATTAATAGTTACTAACTCCAGCTCACGAATGTGGAATCTGAGACTTCCATCACTTTTTCAAGCCTGTTTTGTCTGACTGCAGACACTGTTCTGACCTGAGAAGAAGCTCTTTAGAGAGCCTGTGAAGACCTGGTTGGGGCTGGGGGGAGGCGGCACCATAGTGTGCATAAGTTACATTTAACTACCTCCAAGTTATGCTCCCATTTAATAGCCTGTTTCAAGAAAGCTCTCTCCCTTTTCATAAGTGCTCTGCCCCAGGGAGAGGATAATGTCAGCATTGTTACATCCAATAATGTGCCATTAATCTCCAGCAGTGCCAAAGGATGCCAGCTCTGAAACGCTCAGCTCCCTGAGGAACATTTTGTATCCAACTTAATCTTTGCTTTATATCTGCGATATCAGAGCCTTCCAAAGAGCCCATGCACTGTCAGAATGTGTTTAATTGCATGTGAGAGATTTAGACTTTAATCAACAAAGAAAGGAAGCACGGCCCACACACATGGACCACACTCAGCTCAGGGAGGACTTCGGGGCCAATCCCAGCATCCTTTTGAGGGAATGGGGACCAACTGCTCTCAGGGCTGTTGTCCCTGACTGTCCCTTGCACCGCTTTGGATTTTGATACAAGGGATGGTCGTGTTCCTCATAGAATGGCTTACATCTGTGGTTGGCATTTCACCATGTGTTGTCCCCAAGCCAAGCATGGCGCTGCAGGGGGCCAAAGCTGGATTTGAGGGAAATTAAGACAGTCTTTGGCTGTCCACCCAGTTAGCAGTAGAGGATAACTCCCAGGCCTTCAGGTCCCGGTGATACTAGACAAAAGGGAACTTTTATCTCCTTGATAATAGAAATTAAACCCGAGGCAAAGAACACGAACTCACAGGCAAAAGCTTTCATTGAGAAAGAAGAGTTTGGAGAAGGGGCTTCTGCTTGAAGAGGACACAGCACCGAAGGGGGCGGCTTTAATGGAGTTGGTGGGGTGGGCTAGGGTTTCTTGGTCATTATCCCTGCTCTGGCTCCCCAAGGTAGCTCTAGAAGAATGCTTATCTCGTGAGGGAGCAACCAGTTCCACGAATTGACTGTTCCTGCTTAGGGGGCAGCTTCCATCATGGGGTAATTACTCTCACTTAGGGGGTGATTGATCGTGGGGCAATCTGTCTTGAATCACTCGTTTTCCTGGAGTCCAAGGGTTAGAACGACTGGAGCCTTCTAGGTACTACTTTAGGGGTTTGGAACAGGATATTGTGAAAGCTGGCTATTAAATGACCCCAATCAAAATTACTTACTCTTATTTTGGTGTCCTCAGATGAAACAGCTTAGGTAAAATTAGGCTAATGAGCCGGGTTTTAGACACTCCTTAAGTGATTAACACACCTGCCTGGTGAACTGAGCAGGGATCTGACCCAGAGTTTACCCTAAGTAAAGAAGACAGATAGAAAATGAAGGCAAAGGCCCAGTGATTTAGCTTTGTGGTGCCGTGCCTGCCTTGTAAGCACAAGGTCCTGAATTTGATCCCTGGTGCCAAAAAAAGAAAAAAAAGAAAATGAAGGCCAAGATGCCAAGCTTTATCCTGCTTTTTATTACCCATGAGGCATCTGTAGGCCCAAGTAAAGAGTCGGTGCTTTTTAGCAAAAGCAGCTATCAAGTCCCTGACTGTCTCACTGGTGTAGAGTATTGGGTTTTGTTTCTGGTACTACTGGTGCAGGGCTCAGCTTGTGTCCCGCAGGATTTTTATCATTTCCTCTGGGCTGTTACATGGGTCATTTCTGCACGTCTTGTCAGTGCTGACCGATTCCACCCGAATCCTGCTATGGGGCAGGCACAGGGCTGGACACTGCCAAGCTAGCTCTGTCCCACTGGTGTCAGCTCCCCATGTTCCAGGCTTCCACAAGAAGCTGGCCATACCCGGTCATAATGTCAGCAGGTGGGGACTGCAGAGGGGAACCTTCACTTACTTGACCTGCCAAGTAGGTCCCTAACTCTTATCACAGAAACGGGGTTTCGGGACACATCAGTGAAAGGCATGGGCAGATTCAGTAGACAGAGTTGAGAGTGAGGGGCAGTAAGAAAGGACTCCAGCTTGAACAACTGAGGAGGCCATTGCAGTTATATTAACCTAAAAGCAGCTCACCAAATAAACGTTATTGGGTTCTGGACTGCTCACCTCTCCTCTGGAGTTATAGTCCGAGTTCTTCTGTTTCAAACAAAGAATTGAACAAAATGAGCAAAAAGCAGTGACAAAGTTTATTTTAAAAGTAAAAGTGAGCAATGAAGGAGAAACTGGCTCTGCAAAGTGAACTTGGGCCAAGTAAAAGAAGAGAATACAGAGCAGGGCTTCATGAGGAAAGCCACGATAGCAAGCTCTTCTTGCCGCGTGTCCTTTATACTGTCCAAATCTTGAGGAAACTCAAATGAACTTCTACATACAGGTCCTGACAGGCAGTGCTGGGATCCCACAGCTCAGGCAGACAGCAGATCTAGGCCATGCTATTGAAAACCTGCTCGAGTGCTTGCTATTGACACATTGTTGGTTTTTCCCTCCCCTCCCTCCTTCTTTTTTGACTCTGGCTTTTCTCCCCCTCAGCATCAGGGGAATCCCACTCTTGTGTGAGCTGGGCTCTCTCTGAGCCACAGACTGAACACACTTACATTGGTATAGGTGGTTCATGGTGACCGAGTCGCCCTGGCGATGAGTTTAGGCCTTTCTTGGCAGCAGTTGGCATATAAAGTTGTTAACAGCAACAACTAAAGGTCTTCGTGTTGACAATCAAAGGCAATGGTTTTCAAAATATAGTGTATTCAAAATTTAGCGTATTAGGCAGAATCACTTGGATGATTACTGGACTCTGCCCACAGACCTACTCACTCAGAATATTTTAAATTTTTAAAAATTCAGATAAACTCACATATTTGCCACTTTAATCATTTTAAGGTGTATAATTCAGTGAGTTTTAATATGATAAAAATGTTCTGCAACCATCACCACTAACTCCAGAACATTTTCAGTACCCTATACCTATTTAAGCAATTATTTTCTGTTATCCCTCCTCCCATCCTTCGGCAACTTATGACCTTTCTTTCTCTAAGAATTTCCTTACTGTGGACATTTCATATAAATGGATTCATCCTATATTGATCCTTTTTGCCTGGCTTTTTTCACTTAGCATAATGTTGTCTAGGGTTATCTATATGGTAGTAGAACTTACTACCTTTTCATGGCTGAATAATATTGCAGTGTATGGATATACCAGACTTTGTTTATCCATTCACTAGTTGATAGAATTTGGGTTCTTTTCTTCTTTTGACTATTTTGAATTATGCTGCTGTGAACATTTATATACAGGTTTTTGTGTGGACATATGTTTTCATTTCTTTCGGGTATATACCTGGGAGTGAAACTGCTGGGTCACATGGTAACTAGTTTAACCACCAAACTAGTTACACTAGTGACCACTGTTTTACATTCCCACCAGCCACGTGCAGGGATTCTGATTTCCCCACATCTCCTCCAAAACTTGTTTTTCACATTTGTTTGATTCTAACCAAACAAGTGGATGTGAGGTGGTATTTCACTAGAGTTCGAGTGCCATTCCACACCTGCTGGGCCTGTGGTTTCTGATGAAACACTGATCATTTATCTTACTGAGGATCCCTCATACACAAGTAGCTTCTCGCTCTGCTTTTGAAACTCTTATGGTCTTTGTCTTTGGATGATTTGTGTGCATCTCAATGTGAGTCTCTCTGAATTTATCTGACTTGGCATTTGTAGAGCTTCTTGGGTGTATATATGAATGTTTTTCATCAAATTTAGGTATTGTTGATCATTATTTCTTTGAATAGTTCTTTCCCTCTTCTCTCTCCTCTCCTTGTTGGGATTCTCAGGCAAAAGTGAGCACACTTGATGGCAACGCATAGATCCTTTTCTTTAGTTCTTTCCTTTCTGCCCCTCAGATGGGCAGCTCTCAGATGACCCATGTTCAGTGCCTACCCAGATCTGCTGTGGGTACCCACTAGCAGATTTCTCCTTCCATTCTTACAGTTTCCAACTCCAGAATCTCCGTTGTTCCCTTTTCATAACTGTCTCTTCATCATTTTATGTGGTGAGACATCTTTCTCATCATTTCCTTTAGCCTTTTGAGCATATTTATTATTGTCTGTGTAAATAAAGTCTTTGTCTAACGAGTTCCATGTCTGGGCTTCCATAGGGACAGTTGGAACTAGTTGCCCTTTTCCTGCATGTGGGCTACTTTTTTTATCCATTGTACATCTTAAAATTTTTTGGTTGAAAACTGGACATTTTTAATATTACACATGGCAGTTCTGGACATCCAATCTCATCCCCTATTGGGAATTGTTGTAGTTATTGATGTGTGTTTGTTTAGTAACATTCCTGGACTAATTTGGTAAAGTCTGTATCCTCTGTCCTCTGTGGCCATTCATGTCTGTTCCCTCAGCTTAGTGGTCAGTGCTTGGACATATGTTCTTGAAGGCCCAGAATGAAAAGCAACTCCAGTTTTGCAGATGGCCTCTCAGCTGGGCACAGTGCACACCTATCTTTCCTCACCTCCTGCTTGCACATCTAAAGGTCAACCCGAGCAGAGGTCTGAGGGATGTCTTTGGGCACAGCCCAGGCATGACATTCTAGAGTCCTAGGAATTTGTTGGAACTGTTCCAAATCCTTATTTCCCAAAGTACCTCATTCCGAAGCCTTTCCTCCCAAGCTGTTTGTCCCAGCTGTAACCCACTGCCTCAGACAGCAATAGGTAAAATATTCTTCTATAAATGTTTTTGTAAGATGCTCCCTGGCTGGCTGCTGTGGCACTGGGAGAGTTCCCAGTTACTTGAGATAAAGGAGAAGCCTTTCAGCTAGTCTTCCCAGGAGCCACCAGATAAGTTAAAAGGATGACGACTCCTAAGAAATAAGGTCTGTGGTCCTCCTTCCAGGACCAGTACTGGTTGGTGTCAGTGGTAGACTGTGTTTCAACGCCACCATTGAGCAGGGAGCAAGGGATAGAAGCAGAGTAAGTTTGAATGCTGTAAAGCTCATGCTTACTAAGATCCAGCCATTTTTTTCTTAAGTGCTCTTGTGGCCACTGCAAGCTTCTGGTTAGTCTCCAGAGTTCCAAAAAGTTGGCTCTGAAGGTTTTTACCAGGTTTTTTTTTCACTGCTTTAAGGTGTGGGTGGACTTCTGGAGCTCCTAGGTCTACAATTTTCTAGTTACTTAGAACAGTAAGGGTGGGGCTAGGAATATACTTTCCTAGGAGATTCCCCATGCTTCTGATGTTTCTGGCCCATCATCCACTGGAAGAACACTGAGCTGCACTGCCCCCTCCAGATATCCAAGATTCCTCACTGGTAGGTGGTCCTGTTTTAATACCAATTGGGACTTGCCTAGCTTTTCTGCCCTTATTGCCACATATAGCCACAGTTCTCAGAAGTGCCTGATGCCTCATCCTTTCAGGAAGCAGAGACACATCTTGGGTAGTACATTTGGAAGGGGATGGAGCTACCCTTCAGCACAAAAAGAAAAGGACCCATTGAAGTCTTGGTGAGGTCAAAGTCACTGATATTACTAATGCACTCTTTTTTTGTAGGATTCTCTGGGAAATGTGGGCCCTTCATAGAAAAATATGCACATGCAAAACAGTTTGCATGTAAATTTAGAAAGCTCAAGGTCCCTCTGAAGAATTTCCATGGACACCAGAGAACCTATAACAAAGACAACAAGGTAGATAACCCAAGGCACTGTGGGTTTCTGTTTCTCCATATCAGTGGTTCTCAACCCCAGCTGTGCAGCAAAATTACTTGGAAGTTTTGTTCAAAGCAAAGCAAAACAAAACTTTTCCATCCTGGAAATGTCAATATGCAAAACCATAACACAAAGCCGGGTATAGTGAGCCCTGGTACCCAGCCCCAATCAGCTCCGACATCAGTGAAAGCCAAGGGAAGACAGTTTTGTTGGTGACCACCTTTTCTATCAATGGCACCATGGACCTCTAAGAGAAAAAGTGCCCCCATTTTTCACATAACACAATACCATTCTTGCACGTTTAAAATTTTAATTCATCTGCAGTGGTCAGGTTTTCTTACTCTTACATCTTTTTGTAGTTGATTTCTTCCACTCTGAACTCCATAAAAGGTGTCCACACATTGCACTTGGCTGACATTTCTTAAGTCCATTTTTAGTTTATGACCACCCCACCCACCGCTTTCTTTCCTTCTTTGACCTTTATTTGTTGAAGGGCAGGCAGTTTTGTCTTTAAGTATGCCCACCCAGCCCGGGCCTAGAACCTCGAGGGTGCATTTCCAGCCATAGATAATGGAACGCCTTTGTCGCGAGCAGGTACCGCGGGTAAAGAGGACTCAGACTCAGACTCGGATGGCAGTTCACACACTTATATTATTATAATTCACTTCTATGCAATTATCACACCATATTAAATAAGACAATATTAAGTCTGCCAATTACCAAGTCCCTGTGCCTGTACTGCGCAAGTCCTTGTGGGAGCGCGACGTTTCCTCCCCCAGGGTCAGAGGGTCCGATCCGTAGACGAAGGGCGTCGAGTCGGCGCTAGGCTGTCCGTCTCTCCGCTGGCCTCGTCCCCTGGTCTCGTCTGGTCGGCAGCGATGCTCCTTCCAGCGGGATCAGGTACAGGTGTCCCAGTCGGTAGTCAGATCAACAGACTGACTAGTGGACTGGTCGGTGGGACGGATCGTCGACTTGCTTGAGGTCTTCAGCGCCTTTTATACTATTCTAACTGGGCGTTTGTGGTATTGGTTCAGACTTACCACACTGTCCATTTTGGACCACGCCCTGTCCAGTTTGGGGTGCATCCTTATCAATTCCACACCGCTTAAGGTTCTACTTCTATATCTTATGGTTACTATGGTTACATATCACTCACAGCCTTCTTAAAGTCACAGCACACTTTAGGGTTACAGCACACTTTACGGTTATAGCACACTTAGGGTTATACAAGTCCATCTTATTTTACAGTGTTCTCCACAGCCTTCCACCGCTTAGTCTGAGAGCAGACTCTAGGAGCGCATCACTGTTCTTTAGATGATGAATTAAAGTCAGGTCGCCATTTAACCAGGTCTGCTGGAAGGCTTACAGGATCCACTATTTGGATTTTGTGGAGACTTCAGGAATGAAAGAAAGGAGAAATGGCCAAGCAGGGGGAGTCCCGGTTCTCAGCCCCAGGGTCTAATCCCAAACAGAGCTCCATCAGTCCTCGAGGCCCTAACGCTCCTCTTTCCTCCTGCAGGCCCAGCCTACCGGGCCGGCCTGACTCTGCGACCGCGGCAGGCAGTCTCTCGGCGCGCGCGGCCAGCACATGGGGCCATGGCTCTGCTCCCCGGGCACGCAGAGACCCCCGGCCCGGAGCCCGGCGGTGGCAGTGGAGGAGGCGGCGGAGCGGCCCGCGCCCGGCACGTCATCATCAACGTGGGCGGCTGCAGGGTGCGCTTGGCCTGGGCCGCGCTGGCGCGCTGTCCCCTCGCGCGCCTCGAACGTCTGCGGGCCTGCCGCGGCCACGATGAGCTGCTGCGCGTGTGCGACGACTACGACGTGAGCCGCGACGAGTTCTTCTTCGACCGCAGCCCGTGCGCCTTCCGAGCCATCGTGGCGCTGCTCCGCGCCGGCAAACTGCGGCTGCTGCGCGGCCCATGCGCGCTGGCCTTCCGCGACGAGCTGGCCTACTGGGGCATCGACGAGGCGCGCCTGGAGCGCTGCTGCCTGCGCCGCCTGCGCCGCCGCGAGGAGGAGGTGGCCGAGGAGCGCGCAGGGCCGGCGGCGCACGGGACACCCGGGAGCCCTGCGCGTGCCCTGGGACCTGGACGGCTGGAGCGCGGCCGGCGGCGCCTCCGAGACGTGGTGGACAATCCGCACTCAGGGCTGGCGGGCAAGCTCTTCGCCTGTGTCTCCGTGGCCTTCGTGGCCGTCACGGCAGTCGGCCTGTGCCTGAGTACCATGCCAGATATCCGTGCGGAGGAAGAGCGGGTGAGCGTGGGGGCGTGGGCAGGAGGGGAGGCTGAGCAGCCTGTCCAAGGTTACGTCGTAATCCCTGGGAAGGTGGGGTGCCATCGGGGATGGGATGGGTGCCAGCAAGGTAAGGGTGATTTTTGCTGTGCACGGCCCTCCCCTTCAGCGGTTGGAACCAAAGGCCTTGCACCCTTTGGCCCACACAGGTTAAATGGCTGCAAGTGAGGTCCGGCGAATTAACCATTAGTCTCCAAACTGCGTTTCAGGACTGACACACGCAGTGCCTCTCTGCCAAATCTCTCCAATAGTACAGCCAGTCAGGTCAGCAAAGTGTGGACAACGTGGAGCTTTTAAAAAAAACTTTCAGTATCTTAAGGGTTTAGAATTCTGTGGGTTTAACCCTAAATTTGGACATCCCAGGCCACGGAGATGAAGGTTCCACGTTCTCCCAGACCAGCAGCCAGAGCCGGGCTAGCTTTGTGAGGTGTCCACTTCTGGCCCCCACTCTCTGTCCTGCCTCCTCATCCAAGATTGCCAGCATGTGAAACGTGGGCAAAGTGTCACTTTTGGGTTTACCAGAGTTCCCATGACAAAGCAAGGAGATCAAGAGAAAGCCTCACAGCAGTTGTGCACTTTGTGAATCGTGGAACATTCCGGACGCAGCCAGGGAAGGATGTGCACCAGGTAGGGGTTTGTGTTGTCTGAAGTGTTGGGGTTAGTGGGAAAGAGAGCACTTCTATGTAGATGTCGCTGGCATCCTCTGGCGTTTGGGCACTCCCAGACTCCCCTGCAGAGGCTCCTGTCTTCCCACAGTGACCCTTCCTGGCAGCAGCTCAGCTCCACCCTTCAGGTGTCCGAAGGTTGTGCTCCAAGCTTGTTTGGTGGGCTCAACGCATTATTCAGAGAAACTAAATTGACCAAGAGCATGGCAGCCCCAACTGCAGGTGAAATTAAAGTGTAAGTTTTAGGATATTGGCATGGCTTCTTCATTGTTGGGTGTCCTGTGACTGAGCTGGCATTTCCAGTTGTCTTCAGCAGTTTCTGACTCTGCTTCTTAGGAGCAGTTATTCCATACAGTATACAAGAAGGAAAAGTCATTTCTGTAGGATCAGGGAATGGGAGAAGTCAGAGCTGCTCAGCTAACAAAGGCTCTAGGGAGCCCCAAACCCCAAATCCTCTCAGGGTCATCCACAGCTCTCCTGTCACCCACCTTTTCATATCCCCCAGGTTCCCTCAGTGAGGGTGCTGCAGGCTGATGTAGGCCCTTTAGAAAGCTGCTTGGCAGTGGAGGAAGAGCTCTGAAAAGACCTTTCTCCTGAGAACATCTGTTATGGACAGGGAGAAAGTGGAGGCTTTCAGTAGTGTATTAGTGATTGGAAGTCAGGGAGCTTCTAACTGTGCGACTAGGGCCCTGGCTAAGTAAATCACCTTCTGGCCAGTTGATGGGCTATGGGGAACCTTTAAGTGCCAGGAACTTGTTTGAAAAATGGTTCTTCCTTACCTGTAATCAAATACCTACAGATTCAACACATTAGGTGCCATAGCTCATAGTCCCTGCCCGGCTCCTGGAGGATGTCTGTGTGAACTAAATCCCCCTGCCTATCAGCACTTTGGTGATATTTGTCAGAATACAAGCTCTTGTGAAAAACAAATAGTGTTCCTGCCAGAGAGTCCACTGACCCAATGTGTTTGGGAAAATTGAGTGCACAGATTCTAGGGCACACAGTGCTTTCTCAGGTATGGGGTGGCAGGTGCCAGGTGCCTCATATTATACCCTATGACATGTTGTCTGACACATCTTGGAAGATCCTGACCCCAAATCTGTCCAGGACGGACTTCTGGAGTAGTGAGAAAATGAGGGCAGACAGGATAGCATGCCAGGCTTTTGTCCACACTACACATGCCACCTTGCCAAGATTCTCCTTTTGTGTGTCAGAAGGACAGGGTGACAGTTCCTTTGTGAGACCATTGCAGTGGGGACTTGGGGAGGACACTTAGAAGTGTCTATCCACTGTACACAAGAAGCACTAAATACATAGCAGGTGTTGTCACCAACTTGCAAAAGGGAAAAGTTTCATATTCCATCAACCTTTTTGTTTTTTGTTTTTGGGGGGTTTTTTTTGGTACCAGGGATCAAACTCAGATCCTTGTGCTTGCGAGGCAGGCAGCAGGACCACTGAGCTAAATCCCTGGCCCAACTTTTTTCTTTTAGTAAAATATATGTAAAACTTGCCGTCTTGGCCATTTTTTGGCACAGCTGAGTGCATTTAGTGTGCTGGAATCATTGCACAGCTGTCATCCCATCTGTCTCCAGGATTTTCCATCTTATGGGGAGGGGAAATCTGACACATGCCACAACAGGCGTGGACTCTGAGGATATTATGCTCAGGGAAATAAATTCATTACAAAAAGTCAAATATTTTATGATTTCTCTTATATGATATAACTACAGTAAGCAATTTCACAGAGACAAAGAGTGATCGGTGCCAGGGGCCAGAATGGAGGTAGGGAGTCAGTGTTGGATGGAACAGTGTCTGTCAGGAAAATGGAGAGCTCTGGGGAAGGATGATGTGGAGACCCTGAAGCACCTGCTGCCCTGATCTGTGCACTCAGTGTTAAGGTGGCACATTTTGCATTGTGTGTATTTTACCTCCACACACACATTCATGGAGATTTATAGACTCAGGAGAAGCCAAAAGGAGGGTATTTGAGAGAAAGCACTTCATGGCCCTGTGACCATCCATGACTTGAGGCTGTCCTCAGCAGAATGTGAAAGTGACAGGCTTTGAGAATCTAAGCGTTAACGAGAGTCACTGAGTTTATGCTTTCATCCTACCTTGACTCAGAGGACTCACTACCCATGGTTCTTGGTTTGCTGATCTCCAGCCCCTTGCCCTAGCAGGACCATCACAGATGCTCCGGCATGTCCCTTTACTTGCATCTCATGTAGCTATGGCAGGCTCTGCTTCTTTCCTTCCACAGGCAGGGGTGCCAGTGGGATGGCAGGTGTCATTCTGTTGCTTGTGAATGTCTTATAGTGAGGAATGGGCTGCCCCTAACCTTTCCCCTGCTGAAAACAACACAAATCAATTATGCTTTGTCCTGGTTAGTTCAGGCACTGTTGGAGGTAGCAGACAAGACATAGCACACAAGGACAGAGACTGATCCAAAGCCAGAAATTCTAGAGCAGGGCAGATCTGACACTGTCAACACACTTACCCACATGTGCTGTATGGGACGGGTGTGCTGTGGGCTGATGTTCTAGAAACACTGTATGCCATCCCTGGATTGTTCAGGATCCATTGGGTTGGCCATGCTGGGCCGGTTGGGGTTCTGGACCCATGTTCTGACCACCCATGACTGCACAGCCAGGACCTCGCACCGGTGTCCACTTTGGTGGTTATCTGGGCAGCTGCTCTGGCCACAGCTAGGCGAGTTAACCCCAGGGAAGCCAGCTGCCCAGACCTCTCCAGAAACTTCCCTCTCCCACCCTTCTTTGTGAGAGAGGCCTTTCTGGCACCTACCTTTGGTCCCTCTCCCCTCCTGCTTTTCCTCCAGTGTAGAGGACCAAGGGGTTGCTAGGCAACAAGAGCTGCCACCCACTTAGTGGCCCCGCTCAGGGGGAGGGGTGGTACAGCCTGGTGAAAAAGGGGCACCTGGGCCTGCAGCTGTGACCCCATGTCAACCCTGGCAGGACCTCAGACTGGTCTGAGAGTCTGGCAAGGTCTCATCAGTGGTGGCCACCAAATGTGCCATACATGGCCCCAGTGCTGCCATGGTGTGTCAGACCCTCAGGCCCCTTCCAGCAACTACGGAGACTGTCACCTCAGGTGACAGGTGGGTGGAGCCACTGATAAGGCCTTAGCCAGAGCCCAAACTTACATCATTGAAGTGACACTGTCAGTAGTGCTAGGCCTGGTCAGCAGGAGAGTGAGTTAAATAAGCCATCAGGTGCATGTGGGCATGTGGTGGCGCGGGCTGAAGCACCCTCGGGGATCTTCCCGTTTGTTCCATAGCTAGTGGAACAAACACTGCCAACTGCCTGGCTTAAAGCAAGGCCGATTTATTCTGGCACAGTTCTGGTAGGCAGTGTCCAACCTGGTCTTTTGGGGTGGAATCAAGGTATAGCAGGGCTGGTTCCTTCTGAAGGCTGCAGAAGAATCATTTCCTCCCCTTGGCTTGCTGCCCTCCTCCAGCACTACCAGAGTGTATACCTGCACCTCAGTGCCACTGGATGCCTCTAGCTTCCTTTCCTGAAGACCCTGTGACCACACAGCCCACCTAAGTAACAAAGGACCATCTCACATTCCGAGATCCTTCATTGCACACTTGGAACGGTTAATCTTGGGTGTCAGCTTGATTGGACTGGGAAGTGTACTGCTAAACAGCCCGTCGTGGAAGGAGGTGATGAGTTTCGTGGGAAGGTAGAAAGCGCACTGCTGGGAGTGTCCCGTGGTGGTTTCAGAAAGGGTAGGAACACAAGAGCTCTGACTCATCAGTCCATTGAGCCGCTGCTAAGCTTGTCGTTTGACGCCTGGCTGGAAGCATGGAACCCAGGAGGTGGTCCTGGTAGAAGGGTCTGGTCTTGGGACGTCGCGACCTTGGAGGCTGCGTTTGGTATCTGGCTCCTCCCTGGCCGGCTCTTTCCCTAACTCTGCTTCCCGGCTCCCAGGAGGTGAGCAGCTTTCCTTCACCATGCCCTTCTGCCATGATTTTCTGCCATAGATCCAACTGACCACGGACTGAAACCTCTGAAACTGTGCCACAAAATAAATCTTTCCTCCTTTAAGCTGTGTATCTCGAGTATGTTGTCCTGGCAATGGAAAGCCGACTACTGCAACCCTCCAGTTGCTTTTTTCTTGTGAAGTAACATATACTCAGGTTCTGGGGTGATGACATGGATGCACTGGGGGGCTGCTATCGAGCCGACCTCAGTCATGACGCACTGAAGGGCCAGCCTGCTGCCCTGATCCCAGGGCAAGGGTCAGGGTCTTGCTGTGCATGGGAAACCACAATTG